CCTCTTCCATGTTCTCGTAATTTTCTTCATCCTTCCCTTGAGTCTGATCGATTTGCAAAAACCTTAGCAGTATGATGATTTTTCTGCGGATTCGAGTTGTTTCCTCAAGCTTCTTCAATGAATTTTCTAACTCTCCCTTAAGCTCATACAAAGACTTTTAAACCTCCGCTTCGTTAGCTTTAAAGCGGTTGAATTGTATCATTTATTTCTTCTTCGTTTATTCTGTAATTTGTAGAGTTTATGTCTCGATAGACTATCCCCACACTCAAAATGGATTAGCAAAATATAAAATGAGTTGTTATTTAGCATCTACAAAAATATGAAAAATTAATCCTTGAAGTCATTTTGGCATATCATTACTAAGATAATATGGTATTTTAAATTTATATTTTTTTAATTTTTTTAATAAAATAGTATAAACATTTTGTAATAGTCCGTACATGCGATTGGTCAAACTTTTAGTTATAAAAAATAAAATAAACTTATTCACAATTCATGACTTGTCGTTTGTTGATAAACAAATGAGAAGAGAATAGACGACGATTGCTACTAAGTTTAAAAAATATTTTTATCATTATTTTTCATTGTACTTGAAAAATATTACAATGCAATGCAAATGCATAGTGCATAAGATTCTAGGACTTTATCTATTCGATATGAAACTTAAAATGAAGAGAAATATGCAAATTCCAAGTCTAGTGACTACAAAAACTAAAAAAACTATATATTAAAGATGCTAAAATATAAATCATGTCCCTAATTTTAAATAGACCTTAATTTTAAAGAGGCATACATAAACAATGGGGTAAATATCCATCACCATCTCAATCAACTTAAGGAAACATGTTTTCATTAGGCGGTCTCTTTCTCTTGGAAAAGTTGCATCTATAGAATCTTCGGGGGTCATCAAGAGAGATATCGAGAACATCCATCGATCAGTTCATTATTATATACTCGTTTAGCTTTTTAGGGTATTCTCGAATTGTATGACCGATTGTGTGGCTGATCTCACACAATATCATAGCACAATTGAACCATGGTAGAGAAATTAAATATTTAAAAAAAAAAGACAATGTGGAAGCTGAATCCCGCACTAAGTATTTGTATGTGATTCGGAGAAGAAACTTTGGTCTTAAGAAATATCTATAAATTCAACGATTAAAGAAAAATTAGAGGGAAGCTGAATTTATATTGATATGAATCGAATATACAATAAGATTTTGAACGAGATGTGTTACAAGCTGGAAATATAGTGTTTAAACTCTCGCGTGAGTCCAAAGTTGGCGAAATATGCTCAGACTTCATGTATTTATAGCTCAATTCAGCTATTTCATCCAACTTCACGTATCCAGGGCGGTTCTGCGTATCTCGGGTAATTCCTCAGCATATTCTCCAGAAATCTCGCTCCTTTCAGTGTGCCAACCACCCTATTGACTCGTTCCTACCTCGTCAGCTCATTCTTCATTGACTCGGTAACCGTCGAGCTGACTCCGAGTTCTCGGGCCCGATTCGGGCCTTAGGGCCGAACCATACATTTTCTCTGATAACGGACTTCCGGCCCACCGTATTCTCTTTAATGACAGATTTTGATTCGGGCTTTTAATGGATCGGATTCTGTGACGAATCCAGCTCCAACAGACAAATAAAAAGG